CTCCAAAACCAAGCATAGTGCTAGAGTTTTACAGATATTTTCATCTCGTTTAATTCAGGAAAGAGATCAAGGACACAGTGTCTTCAGAATGGCAGGAGGCAAAATTCCGAATCAGCGCTGCCTCCAAATCCTTGCTTTTAAACTATTATAAAAAGGTCTCGGCTGAGCAAGAAAGGATCTGGCGGGTCACACGAGGCTGGGATTTAAGGAAAAACACAGGCCTTCGCTTTTGAACTTCAGAAGAGAATCTAGCCGCAAGAGCGGCGCTGGGGTGCCGACATTTTCTGGAAGCCTGGGGCCGGAAGTCCGGCCGCCGCAGGGTGGCAGTCGGCTGCTCGGGGTCGGGGTCGTGGGCGGGGCCTGGGTCCCGCGGTGTGGCAATTCGAGGTCGGGAGGCGGGGGAAGGGGGCGGGGTCTGATCTGTGGGGGCCGGGGTCGGGGCGGGGACTGGGCGGGGCCTTGTGGCGCGCGTGGGGTGGAGTTGACCAGGCCGCGGCTTGCCATCCCCACTACCTCGGAACGTTCCTGGACTGCTGCACCTAGCATCCGGCAGCGCTCTGCTAGGAGGGCTGGGGGCGGGAGATGACGGGGATTTCCTCCCCGCCTGCCCATCCTCGAGCACCGGTTCCCTCCTCCTCGCAGCCCCGGGGCTGCAGAAGTGGCAGGTGAGATAGTCCTGCGGGACGCGGACCTGCGGGGTCTTGACTCGGCCTTGTGGGCACTTGGTGTCCCCGACCCCGATCATTTGGTCTGGGCATGTGGACAGCCCCCTGCCCCGAGGCCAGCTGCCTGCGCCTGCTCATCTCTGCCAGGCAGAGCCCGCCTTTGGGACGTGGGGGCCACGAGGAAGGCTTACTCTGGGGAAGGGGCTGCCCCCTAGTTTGGGGTATGTGTCCACCCTGTCATTCTGGGACTCTTCCCTGTATTTCCAGAATGACTTCGGTAATTGCCCCTCCCGGGAGCACTGGCCAGGTTTTCACCCCTTACCCCTTTTTGAAGCAAGTCAGTAACCGTGGGAAGACTGAGCGCCCATGTTTTTCTCATCCCAGCCACAAACCCCAGGCTGTATTTTCACTCCACTGCCGGCTCCCCAGACGTTGCGTGACAGCTGCTCTCTGAGCAGCCTGTTTGCTTAGGGACGTTCTGCTCCCTTATCTTGGAGGGCCAAAGTCTGTCACTGCAGCTCAGTGTTTCCCGCTTTGGGTTTCTACGGAGGACATTTGGTCCCCTGAAAGTCGGTGGGAGTCGGTAGGGGGTGTGCTGCTGATGTCGAAGACTGATAGTACCGCTCTGTGTTATGGTTTTGTGCAGGAATAGAGGACATTGGCCGTTTGAGACGTTCAAAGCTTTCTCTTTGAAGTTGATAAAAAATAACATACCCATCTCCCCGTAATACTTACAGTTATTTACAATTTCAGTGGTTCACTGGTGTTATCCAAACCACATAGGACGTGTCTAGAAGCGGTTTGTATTGAGCATTTCTCCAGTTCCTGCCCCAGTGAGAGAGGTCTTTTACTGTCAAGATCCACTTGTTTTGTACTGTAACAAGCTTTGTTTTGAATGAGATGGAAAGATATAATATTTTTAAAACTTCCCTTGATATGGTTCCTGTTCATTTAAAGAAAGTGCTTAAGAAAGCATGTTTTCTTTCCCCCTTAAAAAAATTCAGATGAGATAAAACTTTATAAAACCTTTTTTGATTATTTATTTTGACTTTCCTTCAAATAGCAGATTGTTGAGGTTGGGGGTCTGGGGGCCAATTTTTGACTCCTAGTGACCTCAGTGTGACAGAGTAGAACTGCCCCGTAGGGTTTTCTTGGCTGTGATCATTACAGAAGCAGATTGCCAGGACTTTCCTCCGCAGCACCCCTGGTTGGGTCCAAACTGCCAGCCTTTTGGTTAGCAGCTGAGCGCTTAACCGGCTGCACCATTATAGAAAAACAATAAAAGAAACCTCATGGGAAGGAGCGTATTACTTTTCAAGTTTTTTCTCTTGATTTTATTAGTTGAAACAGTCGTGGGCATTACAGCAACTATTTGACCATCACCTTGAGGGAAAAAAAAATTATTGGAATACATTAATATACCAGTGTGGTACAAATAAGGGATTGTGAATAAATATGAGTTATTAACACTCCAGGCAAAAAAACAAGGTCAACTTTTTAAAACATCGGGAGACTCCTTTAGTTTATCCCTTTCTCTTTACGATAAACCAAACCCACTGCCATGGAGTTGCTTCTGACTAGTAACAACCCTATGTGTTGTTGTTAAGTGCTGTTGAGTCGATTCCGACCCATAGCGGCCCTGTATAGGGTTTCCGAGGAGCAGCTGGTGAGCTTGAACTGCTGTCCTTGCAAAGCAAACAGCTTTGCAGTCTGGTACATTAACCCGCAGCGCTATGCCAGGACTCCACTACATAGATTGTTTCTAAGCCTATATATAAATTTTTACAGGAATAGACAGCTTCATCTTTCTCCCACAAAGCAACTGGTGGGTGTGAACTGCCGACCTTGCAGTTAGCTGTCCGGGGCTATCCTACGGCACCACACCTGGAGTTCTTACTCTTCAGCAGTACTCTTTCTCCACGTTTCTTAGAGGATCCAAACATGTAACACCTTTGTTTAATTGTTTATCAGCTTCTTACTTCAAGTTGTGTACTTGTCCCAACCAGTAACTTTCCCAGGATATAATTTGATTCTTATTTGGTAAACTTCAAGTATGTGAATATTGTAGGTTTCGTATACTGACCACTCCTATCTAAGCCTGGTAGAAAATTACTTGCCCTAATCCAGATTAAATGTAAGGTTTTTAAATGGTCCCGTTTATGCCATGGTAACACAGAGAAAATTATCTCTTACACACACCCCACATATCAGTTGTTGGTGGTTTCTGGCCTGCTATATGACTCTTTTGAATGTGATGTGAGTGTTCAAAAACTTAACCCCGGGTGCTGAAACTTCCAGGAAGTATGAGCTTTTTCACTTTCTACCTCAGGCTACAAGGAGCTTTGGTAGCGTAGTGGTTACAAATCAGGCTGCTAACCTCAGGGTCAGCATTTCAAAACTACCAGCAGTTCCACGGGAGAAAGATGAGGCTTTCTGCTCCTGTAAAGATTTACAGCCTCAGAAACCTTGGACAGGGTCACTATGAGTCGGAACCAACTCCACGGCACATAACAACCACCACCTCAGGCTACATTAATTGTTTAGCCCAGAGTAATCACAGAGAAACTGGCAATTATTACCATATTAACTTTAAGTTACTAATAAAAACTGATTTGTTGCATAGTTGTCCAGCATTATGTTCAGTATGTCTTTGGCATCAAGAAGGAGTTGGATGAATTATGGTGTTGTTAGCATAAAGAATTTGTTCCTTGCTTTAATGTTTTCTGAACATCTTTAGAACATTCTAACACATTTTGTGTTCCTGAGCCTGTTGTCATAATAAAAATTTTAGAGTACTTTATCATTTAGAAGTGAAAAAAAGACTTCTGCCATAAACTAGATAGTAACTAAAAGAGAATACCGATCCATTAAATAGCAAAAGGCTTAAGAAGGAAATATTTTTTCAGTGTTTCCTGTGTGCCTGGAACTGTACTAGGTGTTAGAGACACAAGTAAGCAAGAGCATGTCGAATCCTTGCTTCTCTGTTACTGAAGGTCTAGTGAAGGAAACAGACATCAAACCATAATTCCTCCAGTGTATATTGTCACTCCAAACTGAGAAAAGTAACCAAAAAGAAAGAGCAAGATTCTATTTGAGAAAGAATTCTGGCCTGGACTTTATGTGGCCAAAGAAGCCCTCTATGCTAACAGCACCATAATTCATTCAACTCCTTCTTGATGCCAAGGACATACTGAACATAATGCTTGGACAACTTTGCAACAAATCAGTTTTTATTAATAACTTAAAGTTAATATGGTAATTATTTCCTGAGGAAGTGACTCTTCAAGGATACGATTGGGAGGATGAGTAGGTATTAACTGTGTGAAATGTGGAGGTGAGTGGGTAGAGGAGAGAACATTTTAGAACGACATGCACAAAGTTCCTGTGTCACTAAGGAGCTATGGAACATTCAGAAAGGCCAGTGTGTGTGGCTGGTGTAAAGGGAACTAAGGTAGGGGTAGGTGGGTGGGATGCTATGATTGATTCTTTCATCTTCCATCTTATAGTCTATCCAAAGTTTTTGTTATCTCTATTAAGCAATTACTCTGTGCTAAATGGCATTCTAAGGACTTGACTTGAATAATCTCAAGTTCCTTTGATTATCACTCGTTCACAGATGAGGAAAATAAGGCACAGAAAAGTTAAGTTCCTGATTCAGAGTTGGTAAGTGGTACTCTAGTACACTCTTCTTCCTATCCTACACTCTAGTGTGACCAGTGGACTAGGTAGTCTGGAAGCTTCTGAGATTTCCATGGAATTTGGATGCAGGTGGACACTCAGCAGACTCAGTGGCCCCAGGCTATCATTCACTACCTGGAGCTCAGTCACGCTTGCTGGAGGGGACAGTGGACCATCACTGCAGCTATTGTTATTTGTGGATATCACTGTACTCGTGACAAGACTGAATGTAGAACAGCGACCTGAACTTCATTTTGAACTCTTCCACCTTTCAAAGTAAAGCTATTGTTAGCAGCCCCTCCTTTTTTTTTTGAATTGTATTTTTCTTTGGTGGTAGTTGAATGAAGTATGTGTACTTACTTGGTCGTATGTAAATAAATAGGAGCTCTGGTAGCGTGGTGGTTACGAATCGGGCTGCGAACGGCAAGGTCAGCAGTTCGAAACTACCAGCTGCTCCACAGGAGAAAGATGAGGCTTTCTGCTCCCGTAAAGATTTACAGCCTCGGAAACCCTGTGCAGGGTCTATGGGTCGGAACCGACTCGACGGCACTTAACAACAACAACATGTAAATAAATAAGTATAAGTTTGCCAATGTATCATTTCAACTAGAATTCGCCTTACCGTCACACTGAACCTTTCTCTTTTCTTCTTTTCAGAGTTGGAGGGTGAGAGAAAATGAATTCCTTTTCTGATTTACCTGCAGAGAACTTCAGCATAGCAGTCAATACATCGCAGATTTTCAATGCCACTAATAGCCCACCTTCAATGTCAATAACACGGCTTTTTCCAGCCTTGCTAGAATGCTTTGGCATAGTCCTTTGCGGCTACATAGCAGGAAGGGCAAATGTCATCACATCAACACAGGCCAAAGGACTAGGAAATTTTGTCTCCAGATTTGCACTTCCAGCTTTACTATTCAAAAACATGGTCGTACTTAATTTTTCCAATGTGGATTGGTCTTTCCTATATAGTATCTTGATTGCCAAAGCTTCTGTGTTTTTCATTGTATGTGTTTTAACTTTATTGGTTGCCAGTCCTGATAGTCGATTTAGCAAAGCTGGACTTTTCCCTATTTTTGCTACACAAAGTAATGACTTTGCATTGGGATATCCTATAGGTAAGTTATTTTTCACTTTTTATTTTTCAAGTTCTTAGACCTTTTAAGTGTTTTAGAATGTAACAATTTAAGCTTTTAATTAAGATTTGGTTAGTGACTTATTCATTCTGTTTTGTATCTAAGAAGTCTTTCATCATTTTTTTTCTTAAATATGTCTAATTTGGAATGAATTCTATTTTTTATGAATGTCAGAGTTCGAAAATCCTAAAATAATCATATGCTAATAAATTATTAATAGTTTATTTAAAAGAATAGCATTCTTTATGAGAAGAATAGCTTCCTTTTTCTTTTCAATAATCACATAGGAAAGAAGTTTAATTTTCAGAAGGGATCAGATTCTGATTTTAATTGAAAAAAAAAAAACCAAAAACATTCAGTTTCCCCTGCTGTTCAAAAGCAGAGCACTACTATGAAACCTTCCATAAGCCAAAATGGCAAAAAGTGAAGAACCTATTACCATAAATTTATACAGGAAAATGTTTTGAGTATTCCCAAATTATTCCTAAAATACCTAAAATACAAAACTACAAAATACAAAACACAAAACCTAAAATACCACTAACATAGAGTGTCCACCACTCCAGAAGCTTGATGCAGAGATGCTGTGTGTAGTTCCCAGGGAAGACACTTGGCGGCGCCACTCACACTCGCTGCTCAGGGCGCTGCTGCCTCTTTAAAGGCTCACTGCAGAACAAACGCGCTAGTTTCACTTTTACCTTTTTTTGTAACAGCGAAAATCCTCTTCGGATTTCTTTCGGTTGACGAAAACAGGTACTAATATAAGTTTTTCATAAAAGCAGAGTGGCGTAAATCGACCTTTTGAAAAGCAGGGTTTACTTGTATGTCTAAAGAGCCGTGGTAGCGTAGTGGTTACGAGCTACGCTGGTAACCACAACATCAGCAGTTCGAATCTACCAGTTACTTCGCAGAAGACAGATGAGGCTTTCTGCTCCTGTAAAGCCTTAACAGCCTCAGAAACCCTATAAAAGGTCACTATGAGTGGTCAAACCGCTCTATGGCACACAGCCACCACCACCTGTGTTTGTATTACAAAAACCAAACCCATTGCTTTTGAGTTGCTTTAAATTAATAGTGACGCAAGTGTTTCAGAGCAGAAATGCACGCTATAGGTTTTTCAGAGGCAGCAATCTTACAGAAGCAAATTACCAGGCCTCACAGCAAACCTTTCAGTAGCCAAGAATAAACTATTAGCACCACCCAAGGACCGTATATAAAAATAATCATTATTGGTGGGACCTCGAAAATTGTAGCCCTTAGGCACCCTTCAAGCCTCCCTTTGGCTAGAGATAAGCTTTCAGCCAAGAAATGTTGTTGTTACATACCGTGGAGTCGGTTCCGACTCATAATAACCCTGCACAGAGTTTCTGAGGCTGTAAATCTTTACCGGAGCAGAAACCCTCATCTTTCGCCCGCGGAATGGCTGGCTGTTTCGAACTGCTGACCTTGAGGTTAGCAGTCTGATTCGTAACCACTACGCTACCAGAGCCAAGAAATAGATAGGCTTAAAAAGCGTAGTGGTTACGAATCGGGCTGCGAACTTCACGGTAAGCAGTTCGAAACTACCAGCTGTTCCGCAGGAGAAAGATGAGGCTTTCTGCTCCCGTAAAGATTTACAGCGCCCCCCAAACCCTGTATAGGGTCGCTATGAGTCGGAACCGAATCCACGGCACATAACAACAAAAGGTGAACAGTAACACCAGGGAGGAACATACTCGTGGAACATCAACCGTACAAGGTTAACTAAAAACTTAGCTCAAAGACGGGAAGATCCAGGAAAGGACAAATAAATACAAGGAACATAGGGAAGAAATCAGAAGATTGCTGTTACATTGTAGGGATTGCAGTCAATATTAGGAAAAAGAATGGGTATTAATTGTTGAATGGAAAACTAATTTGCTCTGTAAACTTTCACCCAGACCACAATAAAAAGTTCAAAATAAAATAAAAATAGTCATTAAATGTTAAGAGGGAAAGTTCATGAGTGACTTTTCACCTTCTCTATTTTTCATACTGATGTGGCACTATAGAAAAAGCACTCAACAACAAGGTCAGTGTGAACGGCAAGGTCGGCGGTTCAAACTCACCAGCCACTCCTCGGAAACCCTATACCTTATGTGTGTATATATAAAATCCAAAGAACCAAACCCAATGTTACTGAGTTAATTCTGACTCAGAGCCTGACCCTATAGGACAGATTATAGCTGTCCTATGTCACTATGGGTCGGAACCGACTCGACGGCACTTAACAACAACAACAAGGGTTCCCAAGGTTGTCGGTTTTACAGAAGCCGATTGCTCCATCTCCTGAAGCTGAACTAGGAGTGCTTGTTAAGACAGGGGGCTCAGTGAAGGCCTCTCCCTAAATCTTCTGAGCAGAGACTTGATTGGAACTTAATGACACGTGCAATTGAAATAAACCTGTAAATTTCAATGTTTTTATCATGTAGTTTTAACCCCTTGTCTTATCTTCCTAACTAATTCTACCACTGGCATAAAAAGGACTTTCGTTGTTAAGTGCCATTAAACCGTTTCCAACTCATAGCGGTCCCTGTATAGGGTTTCCAAGGAGCGGCTGGTGGGTTTGAATTGCCGACTTTGTGGCTAGCAGTCCAGTGCTTATCCTATAGCACCACACTAGGGGTCTAAAAACATTCTAAGGGGTTATAATTTTCATCTTTCATCTCCATTGGCCCTCCTACATCTTGCCTACCAGAAATAAAGCTACACCTAAGAAATGATACAATTGTGAGGAAAGTAGGAGAGTTCAAAAATCGAACCTACCAATAGTCCAGAGTTAGATATGTGTTCATTTAAGGCTACTGGATTTTAACATAAAGGACAAACCAAGCATTTAAATAAAGACTGGAGAAATAAAAGAGCAAGGAGTTAATGTGTTTACGTATCTCTTCCGGAGCATTAATACTGGAAATTTGTCAGGGTGTTTATTCTATAAGGACTTTAGATGTGACTCAACACCATAGTGTTAAATATTTAATAAACATTGTGGTACTTGATTTAGACACAAACTATGAATATATAGTTTCATGCTACATTGATTAGTAAATCTATAAATTGAACTAACATTTGTAACTTTGTAGTTTGTGGAACACTTTCTCAGATACTTACCTTATTGAAATAAGGCAGATATTCTCATTTTCAAATAAGGAGACAGGCTTATAGAAATTTCATTATCTTATCCTGGGTCACATAACTAACAGGTGACAGAGAAAGGGATCCAAACCTCGGTCTTCTGGTTCCAAATCCTGGGCATTGTCTATGCCACATAGTTATATAACGTGCCCGCTTATTTAATCTTGAGGAGAGAGATTTTTTTTCCTTCCACATTATGTTTAAAATATTCCATAAAATGAGTAACAGCGGAGAAACCCTACTAGATTAGTTAATCCATTTTCATAATTAAATAGAAGCTTCAAATAAAATATCTAGCCAGCCATTCTCGTCACTGCTTTTCTTATGTCTCATAGTCACTCAGTGAATCTGCTCAAATCATGTTACCAGCAGTGTGCTAGCCCAGTTTCCATAAGGATTGTGTTTCTAGATTTTGAGTTGTAATTATTTTTATATATTTATTTATTTATTTATTAACTACAAATAACAGAAAAGTTCTTGAAACGCTGGGTTGTAGATAGTAACGTTACCAAAAACCAAGCATGTAGGCAAAAGTGCGTCCTCATCTTCCTGCAGGTTGGCAGGCATGAGACGAAAGTTTAAGGTCCCGGCATCTGCTCCCTGATGGGGTCATCCATAATTGCTGCCCATGCACATCAGCCTCCTGGCCTGGACAGTGGACCGACACGACTGTTTCTAGAGCGGACATCCTTCCTTTCTGTTTGTTTCATGGACTCTCCCAAGAATGCCCACTCTCTTATTCATAAATGAGCAGACTGATTTTGTTCCACAACATCCATCCAACTTCCAGGTGACTCAGGCAATTCTGACAAAGAAGAGACAGAAAGGTTAATGAATAAAGAACACAATCCTGCTTCTTTCATCACCATACTATTCTAATTATAGCAGTTTTTGAAATTACATTAAAATGTCCTCATGTGATAGAAAACCATGGTGCCTGCCTTATTGCAGATTAAAAAAGGAACGCACTGTTTCTTAGAACAATTCTTTTCGAAGATACTTTAAGAAATCTAAGTGTGAGAAGAAACTAGGAATCTACCAAGATGAAATGTTGATTTCAGCAAATCAGAATGGTTCCCTGCCTCTGTCATTAAAAGATATTAATAGGGCATAGTTAAGTCCTATAATTTATTCTTCAAACAATGCTGATAGCGTAAGTACCCTGACTAATCATAATTATGCTCTAGTGCTTACCTGTAAACAGAAAGGAAATGAAGCATTTAACTCTATGCCATTAAGTAATAGAATGATCTTGTCTGGGTCTTTGTGTTCTTAACTAGGAATTGAAGCCCTGCAGGAATCAAAATAGGAGCCACAGTGGGTGGTTAATTTTGTCTGTTAGTTCTTCAAAGCTATATAATAACTCCTCATAGTGGGGTTTCCCCCCTACCCTCCAGAACCGTATTTATAAGCATTAATTAATTAAAACTTAATCTTTGATATAATGATTATAAATTTCATTTTCATTAATATAGGTCACTGCTCATATTTAAGATCTGAAAAGCCATCTTCAAATTGGTAACAAAAGGAAAACCTTGCCAGCTTATAAATAAAGTTGTAATGTCTAAGTACTTATTAAGCTGAGTGGCAAAAATTGACTAACATTCTTGTGCTGAACTCTATTCTTATAATAATTTAATAAGTATACTATCCCAATTATTGCTCTGTCCACTAGACTAGAGGTTTTCTAGTCTTTGTATACCTGTTCACCAGACTTAAAATATCCTATTTCTTCTTGTGTGCCACTGAGTCTATAGAGTTTCATAGGCAGGTGGGTTTGAACTTCCGACCTTGTGGTTAGCAGTCCTATAGCGCCATACCAGGGCTCACCAGTGATGTCATTTTTAAATATTCAGAACATGTAGAAAAAACATTTTAATGTAGATGTAAAGATAAATGGATTAACTGATAGCAATTAACTATGAAGTGCTATGTGCTAAAAAAAATACGCGGCCATTTTTACTGTAGCTGACAGACTTTAACATTCATTGATGTGTTATATGCTCAGCACTGTGCTGGGAACTGTGAGTTAGAAAATGGTGTCTTCAAGGAATTTAGCGTGTATTGAAGCCACACTCATGGGAGACAAAGTGTCGTGGTCTTTCAGAGACTGGGAGCTCAATGATGTAGATTGGAGACAAGCTTCAAAGAGGAGGTACGGTTTGGATAAGATAGGAGAGGTTTCAAGAAGTCAGGGGAGATGGCATGCTCCGCATGTACTATTGGTCATAGTGAATTCTGTGTCTGTCTGGTGTGACCGATGACATGTTATACAGGCTTGGCTTCAAGTGGGGAGCTAGAGGGCCGTGAGTTTATGTTAATGGGGGAAGAACAGCTCAGAAAATAAGGAGGAAGACAAGGGTTGCATAGCATCACCTAAAGGATGTAATCAATGTCACTGAGTTGTCCGTGTAGAAACTATATTGGATTGATGTATGTTTTGCTGTGTTATAATATGTATGTTTTACTGTGTATAATATGTATGTTTTGCTGTGTATTATATATATGTTTTGCTTTGTATAATATATATGTATAGGGTTTTTGAGGCTGTAAATCTTTACGGGAGCAGAAAGCCTCATCTTTCTCCCATGGAACAGTTGGTAGTTTCGAACTGCTGACCTTAAGGTTAGCAGTGGGACTCATAACCGCTACACTATCAGAGCTCCGTATTTTTACTAGTTTTTTATTGTTAAGTGCCATTTAATTGGTTCCGACCCATTAGTGACACTGTATAGGGTTTCCAAGGAGCAGCTGGTGAGCCTAAACTGTCAACCTTGCAGTTCAAATGGCTTCTGTAGTCTTGCGCATTAATCCACAGCACCACACCTGGTACTAGTTTGTTGTTGTTAAGTACTGTGGAGTCAGTTCCGACTCAGTGACCCTGCACAGGGTGTCCAAGGCTGTAAATCTTTATGGGAACAGAAAGCCTCATCTTTCTCCCACAGAGCTGCTGGTATTTTTAAGCTGCGAACCTTGAGGTTAGCAGCCCCATTCGTAACCACTACGCTACCAGAGCTCCTTAGGTACTAGTTGTTGTTGTCAAGTGCCATCGAGTCGATTCTGACCCATAGCGACCCTGTACAGGGTTTCCAAGGAGTAGCTGGTGAGCTTGAACCGCCAACCTTGCAGTTCAAACGGCTTTGCAGTCTGGTGCGTTAACCCACAGCGCCACACCAGGACTACTAGGTACTAGTAGTGGTAGTTAATATTCAGGAGGAGAAAATATAAGAGACCTTGCAAAAGTAGAAAGAACATATTGGTAATTGGCTAGCATTCAACTTTTAAAACAATCTGAAGTATATAATGTGTGGTGATTAAATGCTAGTATGCAGAGTCCTGGAGTGGCACTGTGGAATAAGCACTAGACCACAAGGTCAGTTTGAACCTCCAGGTCCCCCATCCACTCCTCAGAAACCCTATACAGGATCTCTATGAGTCAAAACTGATTCAATGGCACTTAACAACAATAACAACACCGTGGAGGAAAGTAAATTTCTGAAAAGGGGTATTAATTTAAGGGGCTTCCTTTCATTCCTTAGATCTCAGAACTGTAGTTGTATGTTATCAAAGGAAACAACTTCACCACTTGGGAAAATGCTTGTATTCAGTCTGAAAGCACAAGGTTTTTTCAACATATATGTATATATAGACGCACACACACACACATATATATAGCTCTATCTGTATCTATCTATCTATCTATCTATCTATCTATCTATATATATATATATACATACATATATATATTAAAGTGTGTGATAGGCAATGATGAAGATAGTCTTCCTAATCAGAAGAAGTATAGCTATCTAGAAATAGTTATCAAAAATTGTTTTTTATTGAAAATATGAAACCTTATAAACATTTGAAAGAGAACCACTACAGTGGCTGTTATTAAAGATAGACTATCTAATTTGGAAACCAGTAGAAAGAGTTTGTGAAATTTTACATATCAAAGATTTTTGTTTAACCACTGCTTTATTTGGGGGACAGTATAGACTTGTGGGTGTGCTTAGCCGAACAAAAAGGGATTGAATCTTATAAAACAGATTTTTGCTAATGAGAACAGGGTGCGCTTATAAGTTATGTAATCTAGTTATGTAACTTTTAACAGGACATATGCATGACATGAGCTGAATTTACTTATGCTGAGCAAGTAAACCAATATATTTTCCCTACCTAGTGTTACTTTATCTTAATGTAAGCTGAGAAACCTAATCTTCTACATTGTTCACATGACCACCTCTCTCCTTGTTTCTTTTATCTTTATTCACAACTTCAAACCAATTATAAATCTGCCTTTATATGTATTAAGTGGGATAATTTCAGGATCCACTGCCAAAAATGTGCCTGGAAACCACGTTGTTTATTCCAGAGTTGTTTCAGTTGCCCTGACTAACCCCAGACAAGGCCACAAACCTGTTGTGTGCACCTGGAAACTGCTGATGTCTGATACTTACCTCCTACTCCTCCATGGAGCTGTATCTTATATAGTGGTTAGGTTCTGAAATCATTATGTATAATCAAACCCTGAAAAAAAACCTTCAATAAATCTAACTTAGGCAGAATTTTTTCTAGCATTGTTGTTCTTTAATGAATAAGTGAAGTAATGTGTTAGCATCAGGAACCATATTATATATATATTGGAGCCCTGGTGTGGTGCTATAGGATAAGCACTGGACCACACAGTCAGTTTGAACCACTAAGTCGGCAGTTCAAACTCACCAGCCTCTCCTTGGAAACCTTGTACAGGTGATCATGAGTTGGAACTGACTTGACAGCACTTAACAACAACAATAATGTATATATGAATAAGAGTCTTTTTTTTTCTGGATTGTATAGTTGGATTTATAATAGTTAAATGTACAGTGATGTAACTCTACTGTACTTCTCTCCTAAACATATCTTAGGACCACCAACCCAACCCTACTTCTTTGCATTTCCCTAGTGTTTCCTGAAGGCATTCATTCCGCTCAAGTGGAGGCTGCTCATTTTCTCATAGCCTGCATGCCACAAGAGCAATGTGCTGTGGCATCCTCTAGCTACTTTATACCACTTAGAGGCCACTGCCCGTGTGCCGCCTGACTAAACCACTGCTCTTCATTGCTGTCATCTGCTGACCTCATTCGTTGAAGACTTTAGTATCTATCTACCACACTGCCATCTTCTCTACCTCGTGTGCCATTATCTTGTTTGACTTCAGCATGCAGTTGAATTACCCATAAAATACTCTGACCTCATCACCTCCAGTGGCATTTTCTTCTACTCTGCTTTAGCCACCGATTCCCATGGCTATATCCTGGACCAAGTCATTGGTGAAATATTAAAGTTGATAGTTCACTATCTGACATACTATAAACTCCTAAACTTCCACAGTTAATTCTTGAGCTTCATAAAGGCCTCTGACCCCTCTGCTTCCTATAGGTCTGTCCTATCTAGGACTTGGACTTCATCTTTTGAAGTGAAGTCAATAATCTCATCTCCTTTTTCCCCATGCCCTTCTGTCTCACCGTAGCCTGGAAAATCCCCAACCCAGAATTCACAGTAGGCCCTTCTACTTGAGTCTTCAGGGTCATCTTTTCTACCAGCTTCTCCCCATCAGCAGGTAAACCTGCCCAAGGCTGCCTTCTCTAAAGCAGTGCTTCTCTGGCTCCATGTCTCCCTTTCAAGCTTCCCAAGTTTGAGGCTCCCTCCTGCCCTGTAGAGGCACACTAAAGGAGTTCCATGTTTGTTTGTCCTGTTCCTTGCCTCTTAATCTCTCAAATCCTCTGTTGTCTGACTTCTGCCTTACCACTCGAATGAATCTGCTCTCTCCAACAGTACTGAAACCACCTTGTTGCTGTTCCTACTGAAATGTTTCATTTAACTAACTAGAACTTTACTTTGAATTGCTTATTTTTTAAGTGCTACAACTATGCCCCCCTTTTCTGAGACTGGTCTTAGCCCTAGATAGCGAAAATGAGCGCGGTTTCATGAAAAGTTAATTTTAAGTGTATCATTTTATGTGCTAAATGGCATTCAATATGGTATGTTTCTCTTCCTTTTCAGTTTTATTACTAAAATTTATTTTTCCAAAAATAGGCTGTGATTATTTGGTACTCTTGAGATTAATGTACACGCTACTAAAATCAAGCACACAAAACATCTGTTCAGACCTCTCTACCTTTGTGCTCCGCATCTACTGATTCACTGCGGGGGCAGGGAGGAAGCAGTGAAGTGATCAAAGCAATTCCTCAAAGCCTAACAGGGAAGGCAGACTGCTAGTGACATAGCATTTCCATTGCATGAGGTCTGATAATGATTTAAAGTATATGGGAGGATGTTTATATGCAAATACAATCATTTTATATTTATATAAAAGACTTGAGCTTCAAGATTTGGGTGGGGGATGGGAGTGGGTTCTTGGAACCCATCCCCCATGGATACTGAGGGACAATTGTATATCTATCTTTTTATATATTTAAAAACTAAATTCTAATTATTGTTTTCCAGTTGAAGCTTTATATCAAACGACATACCCAGAATATCTCCAGTACATTTATTTGGTGGCACCAATCTCTCTTATGATGTTAAACCCTATAGGGTTTATCTTCTGTGAGATCCAGAAGTGGAAGGACACTCAAAATGCTTCTCAAAACAAAGTGAAAATTGTGGGACTTGGACTCCTGCGTGTATTACAGAATCCGATAGTATTTATGGTCTTCATTGGAATTGCCTTCAACTTTATTCTTGATCAAAAGGTGCCGGTATACATGGAAAATTTTCTTGATGGACTTGCAAATTCTTTTTCTGGATCAGCCCTATTTTATCTTGGTGTTACAATGGTAGGAAAAATTAAGAAACTGAAGAAGTCAGCATTTGTTGTACTAATTCTTCTCATCACCGCTAAACTGTAAGTTTTGCTTATTTAACATGGGGATTGTACTGAAGGTCTAATTTAGTCAATTCTTTGGGGGGTGTCTGCAACTGTTTACTGCTTTGCCAAAAACCAAACCAGTTGCTGATGAGTTGATTTCAACTCCTAGCGACCCTCTAGGAAAGAGTAGAACTGCCCCATAGGATTCCCAAAGCCGCCATCTTTACGGGAGCAAACTACCACATCCTTCTCCTGAGAAGCAGCTGGTGAGCTTGCACTGCCAACATTTTGGTTATAAGCTGAGTTCTTAATCACTGTACCACCAGCACTCCCTCCCTTGTATGTTGCTGTTAAGTACTACTGAGTTGATTCTAACTCATAACAATGCTATCTATGTAGGGTTTCCAAGGAGCCACTGCTAGGTTTAAACTGCCAACCTTGTGGTTAGCTGTCCAGTGCATTCCCTCTCTCTCATAGTCTGATAATAATCCTTCCTATGGAGTCCTGGTATGGCACTGTAAGCACTAGACTGCTAAATGCAAGATCAGTGATTCAAGCCCACCAGCCACTCCTCAGAAACTCTTTACAGGTCAATATGAGTTAGAAGTGACTCACTGGCACTTAACAACAGCAGCAATGAGGTAGTTATGACGTAGAGGAAAACATAATGTTGGTATGTTGTGAAAAGACAGTTCTTCATTCCACATAGATTATTCCATCTTATTACTTTTAGAGAATAAAGAATCTTGGTTTCCCTCCAGCTTTTACATTATTTTGCTTAATATCTCTTGACAATTCAGTTTGATCATATTTTTAAAAGCGTTTTATTAAATCCCTAAAGTCAAAAGCACCTTAGTCATAATGGGGACAATAATTTTGAATGCAAAATTTTAATTTCATGAATTTGTAAAAACTATTCTATGATTCTAAGTTTGATTGAACTTTTTCAGTGGAGGTAACTAAAAATGAATGTCATCAATCATCTGCTCCTAGCCTGACCAATAAAAAGATGACATCAGCTTCTTGTTATTGTGTGCCGTTGAGTCAGTTCCGACTCAGAGACCCTCTATAGGGTAGCCGAGGAGTGGTTGGTAGGTTTGAACCACGGATCTTAAAGCTCAAACTGACCTTGCAGCCTGCAGCACCACACCAGGTCTCTCAGCTTCTTAGTTAATAGCTTTTCCACTTAACTTGGCTCATTAGCAATGGAGTTACACTTTATGGCACAAGTGACATGATTTTACTATAAAGATTCTCCCAAAGCACATGAACATGACTATTATTGAATGTAGCATGAATGTAGTGTAAAGTGATATATTATCTATATTTTCAAAATAATAAAAGTGAGTACACTTTCTGAAAGTTATTTAAACCCAAAATCCATGGTCATTGAGCTGATTTCCAACTCATGGCAACTCCATATAAATTATTTAAGATGGTTTTACAATCCTGGAGAGAAAGTATTAGTATTATTTGTTGTCACAGTAATAAATATAGTTCTAATAATAGCAACATACAGTCCTGGTGTGGCGTTGCAAGATAAAACACTGGACTGTAAGGTCAGTTGAACCGCAATGTCAGCAGTTCAAACCCATGAGCCACTCCTAGGAAACCCTAGACAGGGACTCTATGAGTCAGAACCAACTCAATGGCACTTAGCAACAATACCAAAAGTAAATACATATTCTGAATTTTATTGAAACTCAATCCCCATTGCCATTGAGTTGATTCCAGCTCATGGCAACTCCATATAAATTATTTAAGATGGTTATACACTCCTGGAAAAAAAGTATTAGTATTGATTGTTGTCACAGTAATAAATATCTTTCTAAAAATAACTGTATGGAATCCTGGTGTGGCTGTAAGGATAAGCACTGAACCACAAGGTCCATGCTTCAAACTCACCAGCTACTCCTCGGAAACCCTATACAGAGTCGCTATGAGTCGGAATTGACTCAACGTCACTTAACAGCAAAAATAATAACATACTATCAAAACTGACTTATAAGTAAACTGTAAATGTTCTTATTTTTTAATCTTTTATTTCTAGATCGGTATTCCTTATTATATCTTTGGTTGTTGCGGTTAAGTGCCATTGAGTTGATTCCAACTCATAGTGACCTTATATAAGGTTTCCGAGGAGCCACTGGTGAGTTTGAAGCGCCAACCTGGAAGTTAGCAGTCCAGTGCTTATCCTACAGCGCCACAGCAGAAATCCATTAGATCTGATTTCTCTTTCTTTTCTTTTAAAGTTAAAAAAATAACAACAAATGCACTTAACATGAAATCTTGACTCCATCTCAGAGCATCTCTTGAAGTGTTGCCATAAAAATGTTCTCAATGTTAGTCTTGATTTTCTCTAAGGCAACTGATAAATAAGCCTCATTCGCTCAGCTATTGCTGATATGCTTTTTGTATGGAAACTTGAAGGTTTTATTTAACAACTGATACTTCTCCAGGACCTGATCTCACTAATATTTTGCTCCACCTCAGTTGTTTCAGTTCCTTTGTTCAACCTTTTGTCTTTAAAAAAGATGAAGGGCTAATTATAAGAGACACTTATTTTTCTATTGGTTTTTAGAATCTTATTGAGCAGCATTATTATCATTAACTGAACCATTGAAACCTGTAATCATAATAAAAATCAGCATTTTTTTTTCAAAAAAGAGTTTAGTAATTTTCTTGAAAAAGTTCTTATTCAAGTTGTCAACCTTTTTTTCTTTTATATTTTAACATTTCAATGGACCAATAAAGGAAGCAAGAGACAGCAGCTATAATTGCAACTTTTACCAATTTTTTTGCAAGAAAATTATTTGTAGGGGAAAAAAACACCGTACTTTTTTCCCCCTTAGCCCTTGATATTTTAAGAATTTAAAAAAAAATGGTTCTAAGATGAATTATTGATGCTTTTCAACAAAATGTCTACAAGTAGGCAGACAGATAGTATGTGTATACACATAACTGTACCTGCTGGGTAGAGACAGGAATAGCCTAGCGACCACTTGACTAGTAACAGAGGCTACTACCTGTGGACCATCACACACTGATCTGTCAAGTGAATGATGCATTTCTTGTTTCTTCAGCCTGGTGTTGCCACTTTTGTGCAGAGAAATGGTGGAACTCTTGGACAAGGGCCACAGTGCAGTAAACCATACGAGTTTATCAAATTATGCCTTTTTGTACGGTGTCTTTCCTGTGGCACCAGGGGTGGCGATCTTCGCAACACAGTTCAACATGGAAGTGGAGATTGTATGTATACATTGCTTTTGAAGTTTTGTCATTGATGTGGTTGGTTTAAAAATTCATTTTAAAAATGCAGAAATCGGTATTCTTTTCATGAAAATGTACTATCTACGAATTGCCTCATTATAAATAAGGAACCATCGTGTAACATACACATGGAGTAATTGAATCGGAAACCCTGTACAGGGTCGCTATGGGTCGGAACCGACTCGACGGCACTTAACAACAACAACAACAACAATTGAATCGGGGGGGTTTTATTCAGCCATTATTTTTTCACTAATCTTTTTTAGTTTCAAGTATTTTAGTGCTGTATTTATAGTCCAACCTTTAAGTTATTTATAGAAGGTTAACTTTTGAAATTTTGAGGGGAAAATATCGATTTCATTCATTGATAATGTCCAGATGCAAAATACTACTTAATCAACTGTAATAATTAGCTAAAATCAATTAATACCAAATTAGTAGCAAGATCTATATGTATTGTACATGTTATCTACAGCATTAAAGTTTTTGAAATGTAACACGAGACAACAAAATTGTTTAGTAAGGGTCTGTATCAAAATTTAATCTGTAAGATGTTTCAATGGTAATTATTTTCTTTTAAAATTGCTCTTATAGCCCTGTATTTTATGAGACAATATGGAAATAAACTATTCATAATTTTTCATAGATTATTGCTATGATTTACCTTTCAGAATCTAGAAGATAACCACAGCAGTGGAATTTTTTCCTACTATTTGATTTGTGCAAATATAAAATTCAGCATATGATTAGTAGAGAAGCCAAGGAAACTTAACTATGTTTCTTTTAAGGAATCTCAAAAAGGGGAAATATGATATTGGATAATATCTTAGATTCTATAATGTCTTTTTAAGGAGCTCTGGTAACGTAGTGGTTACGAGTCGGGCTGCCAACCTCAAGGTCAGCAGTTCAAAACTACCAGTGGTGGTTTCTGTGGGAAAAAGATGAGGCGTTCTGCTCTGGTAAAGATTTACAGCTTCAGAAACCCTGTGCAGGGTCACTACGAGTCGGAACTGACTCTACGGTACTTAACAACAGCAACATAATGTCTTTTTACTGAATTTTGCTTTCACAAGGGGGCTTCAAAAAGTTCATGGAAAATTTCCATTATCTTTCAAATCCATTTTTCCATGAACCTTTTGAAACTCACTCATATTTTAATTGCTTTAGTGTACTTGGCTATTTAGAGTTTAAGGTAATTATTTGAATATGATTGTAATTATTTTCCCAATTTGACATAATTTTTACAGATAACCTCAGGGATGGTAATAAGCACATTTGTGTCTGCTCCAATCATGTATGTTTCTGCCTGGTTACTGACCTTTCCCACTATGGACCCAAAGCCATTGGCATACGCTATCCAGAATGTTAGTTTTGATATAAGTATTATCAGCCTTGTCTCTTTGGTAAGTAAGTTTCAGTATAAAAATGTAATTAAAAAAATTTTTTTAATTTAGCTCATTTTTAAACCTAGTTTCTTATGTAATAGAGAAAGCTAAAGCTTGTTTATAAAATGTAGTATCCATCTTCTTACTAGCTAAATTTTCTCCTTCCAGTTGGGATTTAGAATTGTTAGTGAGTGAGGCATGGGATTTAGCCAGACTTAGATTTGGCTCTTGGCCCTCCTACAAGTAGCTGCATCTCTGTGAAGTCACCTTTGACTTGCTAAGCTTCCATTTACTCCATTATAAAATGGAGATAATATTTTTATATATCTTCAAGAGTTGTTTTATAGATTAAATGAGGTAATATAGTGAAAAATATTCTGTGAACGGTGAACCACTATACAAATGCTAGCTGTTGTGGAGCCATGGGGTTGGAACAGATTTTTGAGATCAAGTCGAACTCATGTTAGTGAAATTTTAGGCTACTTCTCAAACTAGATATGTTTTGTTTTTGTTGTGTACTGTTAAGTTGGTTCAAGTCAGTTCCAACTTATAGTGACCCTGTATAGCGTTTCCAGCTAATGGGTTTGAACTGTCAACCTTGTAGTTAATAGTCCAGTGCTTATCCTACAGCACCACATCAGGATATATAGTTGTTATTGCTGTCAAGTCAATTCCTACCCATAGCAACCCTGGATAGGGTTTCTGAGGAGCAACTGGTGAGCTTGAACAGCCTACCTTGCAGTTCAAATGGCTTTGCAGTCTGGCACATTAACCCACAGTGCCACACCAGGACTCCAGGATATAGTTAGGATAAATTAAATGATAAACTCTGACTTCTGGAAGATGGTATAGATCAAGTTGTATGTTAAGTTAAAACTACTATGGTTGACAAAGAAATTTTTTACTATTAAAACAAATGGGAGTAAATATGTACATTAGCAACAAGTAAATGAATGATTAATGTAATTTTTAAAGAAGTTTCACTTCTGTGACATATTCTTAAAATCTATGTGCATTGATAAGAGTTTGGGAAGAGGAACGATATGAATTTTGGTTGGCAATGTGGGGAGAAAAAGAAGACTTATCAACCAGCACACTTAACTTGGCTGCTATATAGGTGGAATTGAATCCCAATCTTTTTAAATATGAGGACTGCAAGAGGATTCATCTTCAAGTGGATGATGGTATTTGTTGTTTGAAATACCTGAAACTTTGATACTTAATTGGCCAATATGGCACAAATAGAAAAGGAAAAACTTAGAATAGTACATTGTAACTGCATCTCTCATGAAAGCACCTTTGCTAAATACTTGACTATGAACCTGTGTCCCAGTCCAGCCACTGAAGATAGAGTATGAACACAGTCAAGGCATTAAGTCATAAAAGACCCTGTAATCTTTCAACAATTAATTTACTATGAGATTTCTCCATGCCTTTTCATTTACTTTGGATATAGTAATTGACTTTAACATCCTTCTTTTTGGAATTACGTTAAAGTAAATGAAACATTAGAATTGCCTTTTTAATCAGAATAAAGAGGATTCTTTAAAGAGGTAAATTAATGGATTATCTGGTCAATAATTATGAAAGTTAAGAAAACTAAATAACTTTTGAACTTTTTGTTTTTAAGATCTGGTCTCTGGCTGTTCTTCTTTTGAGTAAGAAGTATAAACAACTTCCTCATATGCTCACAACTAATTTACTCATTGCTCAGGTTAGTAAACATATAGATATTTAGAGCTACATTTTTCTCATAGATTATTCTATTATCAAGAGAAAATTACTTTGCTGGATTTTTCTAGTTATAAAATCAAGTAATATCAAATACAATCAATAAAAACTTAATCACAATTAAATTATGCTTAATATTTTAAATATTAAAATAGGTGCTGAATTATCTAAAGTTGAGGCTTGCTTATCATGATAACTTTGTATTTCTTATAGAAGTAATTGAATCATTAAACTGAACTCTCACAAGTCTATTTTTCTAGCTAAATTTGATATGTTTCAAATTATAATTGAAAGAAATTTAGCATTTTCTATGTAAACCATTACTAAACGTAAGGTTATTATTTAGAATATAGTGATTATCTGTTTTAATAGAATATATACATATGGTTAAAGGGTGTTTTTCATCATAGTTAAATTTTCTGTATAATCAGTATACAATTTCAAATGATGAGTTATATTTGCTATGAATACAACATGAGCGCAACTGACTTCATAGTTATTTTTCTGGGGTAGTATTGAATAGTAGGTTTTTTGTGACTAACAAATTTTTTAATAATTTTTTCTTTAGTCTATTGTCTGTGCTGGAATGATGATATGGAATTTTGTTAAAGAAAAAAATTTTGTTGGACAAATTCTGGTGTTTGTTGTGTTGTATAGCTCCCTCTATAGCACGTACCTGTGGACAGGTAAGTTGGATAATGAGTGGATATTAAAATCTGTTCCCCTCTCCTCATTCACTAGAAGCCCTCAGCATCTAGTGATATATATATGTGAAGTCTAGTCAGGACAAAAGGTACCCTGGCAGTATAGTGAGTAAGCATTCAGTGCTAACCAAACAGTTAGCAGTGGGAATCCACCTAACAGCTCTGCAGGACAAAGACCTGGCAATCCGCTTCCATAGGGACTGTTGTTGGGAAGTGCTGTCCGTAGGTTCCGACCCCTAGCAACCCTGTGTAGGATCTCTGAGGAGCAGCTGGTGAGCTTGGACTGCCGACCTTGCAGTTTAAATGGCTTTGCAGACTGGTGTATTAACCCACAGTGCTATACCAGTTCACTTTCTGTAAGGATTACAGCCTAGAAAACCCTATGGGGCAGTTCTGCTCTGTCACATGGGGTCACTATGGGGATCCCCAACAACAAAACAATTCAGTATAAAGGCACTCAGTCAGTTACACCCGCCAAGGCAGGCGCTCTGCAGAGCTTAATTCTGTTTCCTGGGCTCATGGCTTTTGGCTCCAGGCCACTGTTAGCATAGCTCTGTTTCCTGGGCTCAGTAGCTGCCTGGGCCCAGGGCTTTCGGCTCCAGGCCACTGTTAGCATAGCTCCTCCTAGGAAACTCCAGTTGGTAGGCATTGGAGGCAGGCAGAGAAAGGAGGGATGGACTGAGATGTGTCCCAGAGTCTAACTGAACTGAGTGAAAAGGTCTGGCTCTACCTTAAGTAAATTACTTAACTTTTGGGGCCTCAGTTTCTTCATCTGTAACACTTACTTTTAGCGTCTTATTGAGTTATTTTGAGAATTAAATGAAACGTGGGTATTTATGCATGGTATGTGGTTGTTGTTGTTGTTGTTAAGTGCTGTCGAGTCGATTCCAACCCATAGCAACCCTTTATAGGGTTTCCAAGGAGCAGCTGGTGAGCTTGGACTGCTGACCTTGCAGTTCAAATGACTTTGCAGTCTGATGCATTAGCCCACTGTGCCACACAAGGACAAAACATTACTAAATAGAGGAAAAAGAGGGAATCAGAGAACAAGAGAAGTAGGAGAATACAAGGGAATGGAACTAAGGAAGTAGCCAGTGAAAAAGACTGTTTCTCATTTTAACTAGCTCCAGAGAGGGTATCAAGAATGTTTCAGCACATTGGCTGTATTAAAATATAATAGTTATTTAGATGCAAGCATTCTGATCATGGAGCACTGCTAGTGCTGTAGGTTATGCTCTAGACTGCTAACCACAAGGTTGGCAGTTCAAACCCAACAGCCGTTCTATGGGAGAAAGAGAAGGCTTTCTGTTCCTGTAAGATTTATGGCCTCTGAAACCCTGTAGAGGGTCGCTATGAGTTGAAACCCACTCAACAGCACGTAACAGTAACAACAACATTCTGATCATATTGGTGAAAAATTATGTCTGTTCAGACCACAAATGTGAACTTGTGAATTGGCACAAAGAAGGAAATTGTAGCCAGTGTCAGAAGGCAAGGGTCAGGAAGTGGCTGCGGTAGACAAACCTTTGATGTCACACCTCAGGATCAAAAGCAGGGCCCATCCAACTCAACAGCCTTGTGAAGTGAGGCAGCAGTGTGGAGAAGATTCACAGGATAGAACTCTCAATGCAAAGAGGAGGCGGTTTGTGCTTTTTAAAGGCAAGTATACCTTGCATAAAAGTTGACATAAAATTTCAAGTTGGAAGAGTCTAAAGACTTTCTAGTTCCAAATATAGATGAAACAATCTGATCTCTAATACTATTAAAGCCAAATTTATAATAAGAATAAAAGAGCCACAAACAGATCAATGTGTCAAAAATCCCCAATTCTCTCAGAAATCCTCTTCAAACTTGCCAAAATATACCCAAAGAAGTTGTTCTGAATTCTTTGACCCCATGAAGGTACCCCTTTAATTGTCAGTTATTATGATGTAACACAATTTTGAATTTAAAGCTTTCATTTTAAATCATCCCGTCAACCCTTCCCAAATTTCTCTCATTTGCATACCATCCCCACGATTTTTGCCAAATCTGTCTACCACGTGTCCTTTTATCCTTTAAATTGACTTACCTTTTTTAAACATCAGTTTAGTACCCTTTCTAACTTCAATTTAACCGTATATTAGCAAAGTTCCAGGTTTTTTCTGCAAGTTACATTTTTTTTTCCAATACACATTAAAGTAAATGCGATAACTAGTCAAAAAATGTTCACCTGTGTCACCTACAGTCTCCACATTTCAGCAAACACCTGTCTAGTTTAAATTCCTTATCTTGCAAATTGGGAAACTAGACCCCAAAATTTATGTGATTTGCTTTGATGGCATTGTGAGTGAGCGATCAAAGGCTGGATTCGGACTGTTAGTGTATGTTAGTGTATGGTTCACTTCACGAAGCAGGAATGGTGAACATTAGATTTCCGAGCAGTGTCCTTTGCTACTGTAACAGAACTAGAACACTCATGTGATTGGCTGCTTGTTGCCTCGGCACATTGCAAACCTAAAACCAGAGTATGCAAACTCCTTTAGGGAGAAAGAGTTGGTAGCATAGTATTTCCTGAACTTATGTGGATCCCCGCATAAAGAGAAGAATTAAAGAAACAAAAACAAAAACACTCAAGGATGTCAATGTAAAAAGAGTTGGTAGCATAGTATTTCCTGAATTTATGTGGATCCCCGCATAAAGAGAAGAATTAAAGAAACAAAAACAAAAACACTCAAGGATGTCAATGTAAAAAGACTTCAATTATTTTTTAGCAGTGTTTCTTAATCTTCAGTCCAGGTGCGAACTCCTTACATACAGCTAATGCTTAACTGTAAAACCAAAACCAATTCACAGATTAAATTAAAACAGAGCTACAAAGCCAGGAATTCTAATTTGCAACATTAATTGACATGGCAAATGATCTTATTTTGCTACTCTTGAAATGTATAATGAAATTGCTCCTCTGGCAGTTTCTTTCTCATTTGGTTTGCCTTGCGTCCACGTTCAGGGCTGTGAGTTGGTTCTCTCACTGCTATGCAGTCTTCAGACTCCTACGGAACCGCCATTGGAATTGTATGTGCGGTACTTCACTCGGCCCAGACTTAGTACAAACACAAATGTAAACCCTGAAATCATGAGAGGGTACTTTGTACAAGGTGTTGTTGTTGTTAAAGTGCCATCAAGTCAGTTCCAACTCATAACGACCCTGTATAAGGTTTCCCAGTAGTGGCGGGTGAGTTTGAACCACTGACCTTGCAGTTCAAACTGACCTTGAAGTCGAGTGCTTTATCCTACAGCGCCACACCAGGACTTCAGTTATAAGGTGGTGGTGGTGGTGGTGGTTATGTGCCGTGGAGTCGGAACCGACTCATAGCGACTCTGTACAGGGTTTCCGAGGCTGTAAATCTTTACGGGAGCAGAAAGCCTCAACTTTCTCCCATGGAACAGCTGGTAGTTTCGAACTGCTGACCTTAAAGTTATTGTTGTTAAGTGCCTTCGAGTCAATTCCGACCCATAGCGATCCTGTATAGTGTTTCCAAGGAGAAGCTGGTGAGCTTGAACTAATGACCTTGCAGTTCAAATGGCTTTTCAGTCTGAAGCATTAGCCCACAGCGCCACACCAGGGTATCCCAATATCATTGGAAATAAACCAAAAGGACTAAAGATTTCTCACAGAAAAGATCCAGATCCTAAAGACTGTGTTTTAGAAAGCCCAGGAGTCCACGGACCTGAGTTCCAGACATGCTGGTGGATTTGAAGAATCACCTCCTGAATGTCAGAAAGCTGGGTTTCTGCTCCTGCTCTGCCCTCCACTGCTGGTGGTCTGGGAACTTCTGTGCTCAGATTACAAAATGAAGTAGTTCATTTAATTTAAAACAGTGGTCTCTTCCAACTCCAGAGGTCTAAGCTTCTATAGCTTCACTGATGCAGACTGGATTCCAACTAACTCATAACGCCCTGTTGTTGTTGTTGTTGTTGTTATGTGCCGTGGAGTCGATTCCGACTCATAGCGACCCTGTACAGGGTTTCCAAGGCTGTAAATCTTTACGGGAGCAGAAAGCCTCATCTTTCTCCCGCGAAACAGCTGGTAGCTTCGAACTGCTGACTTTGTGGTTCGCAGCCCGATTCGTAACCACTACGCTACCAGAGCTCCTGTAACGTACTGTACGACAAAGGAAAACTGTCCCAAAGGGTTTTCAAAGTAGATTGCATATCTTTCTCCCCTGGAGCAGCTGGTGAGCTTGAACCACTGGCTTTTCAGTTAACAACTAAGCACATAACCACTCTACCACCAGGGCTCCTTTTATGTCTGCATTGTTGTCGTGTGAAGTGCCATTGAGTCAGTTCTGACCCATAGCGACCCTGTATAGGGTTTCCGAGGAGTGACTGGGGAGCTTAAACTGCTGACCTTGCAGTTCAAACGGCTTTGCAGTCTGGAGCATTAACCCACAGCGCCACACCAGGACTCCATAGATTTAGTAAATAAACATGTTGCCTGAATAAGTAAGTAGATATGAGAACAGTTTAGGAACTTTAAAACATGTATGTTTATATTAAGTTTGTAATGTGCTTATGTTAAGTACCATCATTAAGGCTGGGGGAGTCAGGGGCAGGGGATGTTTTCCAGTAATGTACCCTGCCTTGTGTGTAAAAACTACCTATCCTGTTTGGTAGTATCCGAGTAGGTGTTTTTATTTTTAGAATTATTTTGTACCTACTTTAAAATTTTTTTAAAGTATATTTAGTTAGATTTCAAGCACATAAGTCAAAAGAATAACATAATTTCAGCTTTTGAAAAAACACTAACAGGAAGATTTGAGTAAAAAAAATATAGGTGGGAAGCATGAATGATTTTGAACTAAGGAAACTTGCTTCAAAATATTGAGGTCAGCATATATGTCAATTCTAGAGCAAAAACTAACTACTACTGAATGAGCTAGGTTGGGGGAAAAAAGTTCCTTGAAGTCAAATAGAAATCAAGAGTAGTGATCTGTCTTTTAATCTCCACTTCTTGTTCTTAGGCCTTCTAGCAATTTCTTTGTTTCTTTTGAAAAAGCGAGAGATGGTACAAATTCCCGTTGGAATCATCATCATATCAGGCTGGGGGTAAGTTGGTAGCTTTCAGTTTGTTTGCATGTTTCCACATGCACAGTTCCTACTCATGCCCTCTCTTTCTTGCTCCCCAATCCTTTGTTGTTACAGAATTCCTGCCCTCCTTGTGGGTGTGCTTTTGATAACTGGAAAGCACAATGGAGATAGCATTGACTCAGCCTTCTTTTATGGAAAAGAGCAGGTGGGTAGAGGTTACTGGCAGTGCTGCTCTTGAAACTGTCTCCTTTTAGCTTGTTAATTTGCTTTACTATGTTTACATGAAAATTACTTTTGAAAATCTATCTCAAATTGTTGTATATCATGCTGGTAATCCTATGTCACTTTGTTAAGACACACAGCAAAATGTGATTAGAATTTTGCATGTCTTAAGTCCATTTTTATGGAGTCCTGGTGGGGCACTGTGGGTTAATGTGCCCAACTGTGTGAACTGCAAGGTTGGCAGTTTAAGTTCACCAGCTGCTCCTAGGAAACCCTATACAGGGTTGTTATGGGTCGGAGCCGACTTGATGACCTTAACAACAACAACTAAGTCCATTTATAGCTGAGGATTCCCATGACTTAGAGACCCTTACTGAGTCTCTTCCAAACATACTTGTGAATTATTGTTTCACTGGAGGAAACAGTTCGAATTTAAAGTCATTTCATAAGTTATTAGTAGTAGCCTTATCATGAATCTAAATTTCAGAACAAAAGTATGGGAAAACGAATGCTTAAAAACCTATGCGAGGATAGTGATCCTGCTTGGTCACCTTAGAGCAGGTGGTGGGCCGGCAACGTCTGGCGCATG